TGTTTTTAATTTTATCTTTTAAGCCACTTCGGACTTTATATTTACTGCGGATTAGCCTGACGGTGTAAGGGATAATACCTTAATATTTAAGGCTTTAGTTATTTCAGAAATTATCATTATAGCAATAATGATCGAGTAGGAATCTTAAACCTGACCAAATTCAAATCTAGTTAGGCTAAACCATTTTTAATTATGCAATGCAATACATCCTAAATGACTTAGTCGACTAAGTCGATGATTTTGCTAACTCAGTCGATCGTTTGTTAGTTGATCGACTATAATCACTAATGTACGTACGTACGTACAGTACGTACAGTACATACATTGACAAATAATCCTATTATTTCTGTTATTGGTGGATTTATTGGTAGATTTATAACTAGATGACTTATTGAAATCTCAAGTAATGACGTTCCGACTTTCTTGTTTAGCTTCAAGAGAAGTGGAAAGTGAAACCGTTAAACGAAACTGTAATTTCAAACCGTCTAATTAAATATAAGGTAAAAAAAATCCATTTATAGTCTATTTTTATCAAGAACACTATATACATATGCAGCAGACAAGACTTCCCAACAAATCAGTTTAGTCAAAACTAAATAAAGCAACTCGATACACAATTTGTTATAAAAATATACTCCATGCGCGAGTTTATCTTTATGAAAGACGTAAAATAAAGATGGTGCGTGTAAAGAAGTAAATTTATTGAAATCAAAACCTAGTATCAAAACTTAAGGTTAATTAATAAAACCATACACACAATAAAAAGAAATTTTCAGTTAAGAACAGAATCATTTATATAATTTATTAGTTATACAATTATTGTAATTTATGTATATAAAAGATATTTCATGTTAATTCTTAACTATTTGAAATACTTCGTAATCTGAGATTTTGAAAGATTCGGGAATTCCAACGTAAGGGTAAGAATTTACGTAACTTTGCCAATAATTATTATTGTCACCTGTAGTGCATAAGTCGTGACTACCACCATCTCCCCAAGTTGAACTAAAATCTCCGAAAGTTGGACCATAATTACTATTGCAATAAATCGCTCTGCTGCTATCAGTAACGCGCCCTAATTTTGCAATTAGGGGGTTATCATTTAATGAAAATGAAAATATGAAGCTATCTTTTGTATTTTTATGTTGACCTTTTCCACTACGGTCATTCCAGTCAAGTGGATTATAACCACCAACTAACTTATTTGAACCTGAAATTTTCGCTATAACGATTGTTGCTCCTTTATCATCACACATTTGATGAAATTTTTTGGATGAAAAACCATCCACGCTACCTCGAAAAATTAGATTAAAATTATACCGAATATCCTTTGAGTTCTTATCATTTGTATCTTTTTTATCTATCCATTTTGTTAATAATAATTCAATCCTTTTATTCATTATAACTGAATCGTTTTTAATATTGATGTTTCCTTCTCTGACTGGAAATATTTGATGTTGCGGCGCAGCACTTGAAATTATATAGCAACGTAATAAATCCTCGATTAGATTATCAGGAATGAATTGTCTGAATGGCCATACTTCATTCATGAAATCTTCACCATCTATCTGATGAAATCTGACAAGTCTAACTAATTCATGTAATGTCTTTCCTAACGTTTTAAAGTCTTCTTGCGTAAATTTTGTCACGTCACTTTGAAATATTGAATGCTGTGCAATTCCCCATTTTATCAATTGCCTCCAGATATCAATCTCTTTCGTCAGATTTAAGGATTAATTCTAATACATCTTTTTCTAATAAAGGGAACTGGTCTGAATTAAACAGAAATTCTGGATTTTCACAAATGATTTCTAAAACAACTTTAATAAATTCGTTAAATGATTCGTGCCGAATAATAAAATTAAGTATTTTTATGGGATTTCGTCGTAATAAGTCTTTGTAATTTTTATTGAAGGTCTCTAAATAAACTTCTTTAACATTATCAAATGCATTATGACATGTAACCAGGTCAAGTATTTTTGTGGAATCAGATTGTAGGAACTTGAGACAATTTTGGATTAAAAATTCTTGAATAGAATTAATAAGTCTTTGAATTCCAAGCTCATCTGCAGCAACGAGAAGTTCTATGATTGTTTCGCTTTTTTGACTTTGAAAGTCCAGGATTCCACAGTATAGATAACTATTAAATGTGTATCAATTATATTATATATTAATATAAATTCTAAATGATTATTACAATATCAGTCAGCCGAGATGTCGGAGAGTTTATATGTTAGATTTGCATACTTATTGATCAAATTAATAGACGTACC